CGCTCCTGACAGACTGCCTCAACCACCACCCACCCACCCCAGTCTTGTGTGTTCAACCACCACCTCTGTCAAGACATAACCACCCACCCACCCTCCTTCCCTCCCTCTCTCCCTCTCCTTCACTCATCCACCCATCCACCTTCCCGCCCACTTAATTCCTAATGATTCCTCTCTTTCGCCTCTTAATTCTCTACCTCCGCCTCCTGCTCCTACTTGTACTGCTGGAGTCACAAAAAAGCCAAGAGGTCGTGGACCTGACTAGAGGTCGTGGACCTGACTAGAGGTCGTGGACCTGACTAGAGGTTGTGGACCAGACCAGAGGTCGTGGACCAGATCAGAGGTCGTGGACCAGACCAGAGGTCGTGGACCAGACTAGAGGTCGTGGACCTCACTAGAGGTTGTGGACCAAACTTGCAGCATCACAAACCAACGCTGCAGTCAGCAAGGTTTTCAAGTCATGTTTACACATGTTCATCTCCTGAGTGATGATCAACACTGCCAGCCTCTGCAACGTTATGTACCTACACCACCATAACTACCATAACAGTGCAAGTGGTGGTGGTAGTGGTGATAGTGGTGGTGGTAGTGGTGGAGGTAGTGGTGGTAGCGGTGATGGTAATGGTGGTAGTGATGGTGGTGATTTTTAAAAAATTAAAAAATCCATTTTTGAAGACAGCAGAGAATTTTAAACAACAGAACTTGAAAGACAGCACACGCATCCTTTAATAACATCATTTATATATAACTTTGTGACAAGAGTAAGTCACAGTGGTAACCACAGTGGTGTTGTCTCTCACTGGTCACTGTATTAATTATACACTTCGTGGATACCCGCATAGACACTTAAAATACAACTAGTTTATATCTACATTGTAGCTAATGTTTCAAATATGTGAGAAAAACACCTCATGTCTCTAAAAACCAAAATGTGCTATAAAAACCAGGTTGTTTATGTTTGTGAATGAAGCTCAGTTGTTTGAGATGTTTATACTCGCCTAGTTGTGTTTGCAGGGGTCGATTTATAGCTCCTGGCCCCGCCTCTTCGATGGTCGCTACTAGGTCCACTCTCTTCCTCCTCCATGAGCTTTGTCGTATCTCTTCTTCAAGCTATGTTTGGATCATGCCTCCACTACATCACTCCTGGTTGTTCCACTTCCTGTGTGTGTGTGTGTGTGTGTGTGTGTGTGTGTGTGTGTGTGTGTGTGTGTGTGTGTGTGTGTGTGTGTGTGTGTGTGTGTGTGTGTCTCAGTTGAAGAGGTCACGTGATGATCCTCGTGATAATTGTTCAAATACCTGTCTATGTTAGCTATCTGTCAAACCTTTGTTCACGTGTTGTACACCGTTGTTCACCTTCTGTACCTTTGTTCACCTTCTGTATCTTTGTTCACCTTCTGTACCTTTGTTCACCTTCTGTACCGTTGTCCACCTGTTGTACCGTTGTTCCATTTCTTAATTACTCATCTCGTCTGATGACGGTAACACAATAATAATACTAGAGAGTGAAACACAGGTGTGACAATTAATGTTAATAAAGACTGACAAAGGAAGATATTTATAGATAGTGAAGATGATCACCGACTTACATTAAAACGAGAACTGTGAAATAAAGGAGAAAGATGCAACAAAGATGTGAAACAGAGGATATAGAGGCACCAAATGTGAAATAAAGAAGATGCAAAGTTACTCTCTGATAATACCAAGGCTGGGGGGGGGGACTGAGTACCTCATCTTTTGTATATAGTTCTAGAGTCTTCACATGTCCTTGTATTGTACTGATAAAGCCGCTGGATGGCGAAACGTCTACAAATAAAGATACCCAGATGTTGGGTATACCATACCTGCCTACACCTGGATTCTGCTATACCTGCCTGAGGTTCTACACTACCATTCCCACCTCTCGTTCACTGCCATGCATGACACCATGGTTCAAGGGTGCTCGCTAGAGCATATGTGTGAGATATTCTTCACTCACATGCTCTATCATGAGTAAGTGTGGGTTAGGATATACATCATCCACATGAATAACTCCGTCCAGTGACCTACCATATTCAAACTTCCCACACCTACCAACCATGTATGCTAGAGCCTACAGTTATGGTAGAACCCACAGTTATGGTGGAGCCCACAAGTAGAGCCCACACACATAGAGCCCATAAATATGTATAGATTATATATTATACAACTAAGCTCTATAAGAAGAACTTCATCGTGTCATAATGAACGTTCCTCTGATTTTAGTCTCTTCCTTGACAAGTACAGCTTACAGGGGAAGGATTCTAGCTCACTTCTACACAGAACTTGAAGGGACTAATTACGGGAGTGAGAATGACTGAGAAACACTGTTGAATAAAGGTAAGTGAATGATGAAGATGAGAGACAGTAAGACTCAGAGGTCATCTTAATAGTTGACGAGACAGTAAGATTCGGATGTCATCTTAATGGTTGACGAGACAGTAAGATTCGGATGTCATCTTAATGGTTGACGAGACAGTAAGATTCGGATGTCATCTTAATGGTTGACGAGACAGTAAGACTCAGATGTCATCTCTAATGGTTGACGACACAGACGGAAGAGCAACAGTGTGGTTGTTGCGGAAAAAAGTTGAATTGGCCTTCCGTTCCTCTGTGTTTAGATAAGACGGTAGTTCCTCTCTAGATACTTACTGGATGTTTATTCCCTCTCTCCTTCCCTCTTTCTCTCCCCCCCTCTCTCTCTCTCTCTCTCTCTCTCTCCTCTCTCTCTCTCTCCGTCTCTCCCTCTCTCTCCCCACCAAGGCAGGCTGATTAAGAGGAAAGCACATTCACCATCACTCGCTCCGTAGTTGTCTTATCGCACACACAAATCACATTCTTGGTAGAACATAACAATGAAGAAACACTGTAGGAGGCCTACTGGCCTATGCTAGGCAGGTTAAACTCACACTTACCAATGCTAACCGTACAATTTATGTTTATAGCTGTGCCAATTTCTGGCTCCAGTGACGCCAGATGGCAGTTTGTTCCACTCGTCCACAACTCTGCCAAAAAAGGACTTTCCTATATCCTTATTAGATGTAAATTTTTCCAGCTTGAATACACTGCTGCGAGTTCTGTCTTGGTTATATATTTCTGGCACGTTATTTATGTTCCCTTTATTTATTCCTGTCTTCCATTTATACACCTCAGTCACAACCCACCTAATTCTACATTTTTCCAGAGAGAGCAGACTCAGGTCCCTCAGTCTGTCCTCGTAGGAAAGATTTCTGATACATGGGACCATCTTTATACTTCTCTATATGTTTTCCAGCGTATTTATGTCCGTTTAGTAATATGGAGACCAGAACTACGCAGCGTGATCTACACGAGACCTGACCAGCGTATTTATGTCCGTTCAGTAATATGGAGACCAGAACTACGCAGCGTGATCTACACGAGACCTGACCAGCGTATTTATGTCCGTTTAGTAATATGGAGACCAGAACTACGCAGCGTGATCTACACGAGACCTGACCAGCGTATTTATGTCCGTTCAGTAATATGGAGACCAGAACTACGCAGCATGATCTACACGAGACCTGACCAGCGTATTTATGTCCGTTCAGTAATATGGAGACCAGAACTACGCAGCGTGATCTACACGAGACCTGACCAGCGTATTTATGTCCGTTCAGTAATATGGAGACCAGAACTACGCAGGATGATCTACACGAGACCTGACCAGCGTATTTATGTCCGTTCAGTAATATGGAGACCAGAACTACGCAGCATGATCTACACGAGACCTGACCAGCGTATTTATGTCCGTTCAGTAATATGGAGACCAGAACTACGCAGCATGATCTACACGAGACCTGACCAGCGTATTTATGTCCGTTCAGTAATATGGAGACCAGAACTACGCAGCGTGATCTACACGAGACCTGACCAGCGTATTTATGTCCGTTTAGTAATATGGAGACCAGAACTACGCAGCGTGATCTACACGAGACCTGACCAGCGATTTAATGTCGTTCAGTAATACTGAGACCTATTAACTACGCAGCATGTCTAACACGAGACCTGACCAGCGTATTTAATGTCCTTTCATAATATGGAGACCGAACGGTACGCAGCTTTAATCTACCACGAGACCTGACCATCTATTAATGTTTCCATTCAGTAATATGGAGACCAAACTCGCGCATGATCTACACTAACCTGACCAGACGTATTTATGTCCGTTCAGTAATATGGAGACCAGAACTACGCAGCATGATCTACACGAGACCTGACCAGCGTATTTATGTCCGTTCAGTAATATGGAGACCAGAACTACGCAGCATGATCTACACGAGACCTGACCAGCGTATTTATGTCCGTTCAGTATATAGGAGACCAGAACTACGCAGCATGATCTACACGAGACCTGACCAGCATATTTATGTCCGTTCAGTAATATGGAGACCAGAACTACGCAGCGTGATCTACACGAGACCTGACCAAGGATAAAGTTGCAGTATAAACCTGAGCGCTTCTATTATTTATACTTCTTAATATGAAGCCAAGACTTCCATTAACTTTATTACGAAGACTTGTACACTGTTGTTCTGGCTTTAATTATCCACTAACCAAAACTTCTATTAATTTCACATTCGGTTTAACTAAGACTTGCATTATTTAATTTATATATGATATAGTTATATCCCCCGTCCCCACCCCACTCCCATCCCCCACCCTCCATCCCCACCAACCACCCCATAACCACCACACCATACCCCACCACACCATTCCCAACCACACCATCCCCACCCACCATCCCCACCACAACCATCCCAACCACACCATCCCCCACCCCACACCATCCCCACCACACCATCCCCACCACAAACCATCCAACCACAACACCCACACACCATCCCCACCACAACATCAATCCCACACCACATCATCCACCACCACACCATCCCCACCACACCATCCCCACCACACCATCCCCACCATCCACATCCATCCCCCACCCTCCCCATCCCCAACCACAACCA